CATGTGTCTGAATGCATTTCCTCAGCTCCATAAAAACCCGGGGTCCATCATAAGTCATTATGCCTGGTGTGGATGGATATAGATCATAAAATCTCCTACGTCAGTGACTATTAGGAAAGAACAAGTTGCAATAGGACACATTGGATAAACAACTCCCTCACTTCCTATTCAACAAATAAAAACAGACAACCTGGGTATTATCTTTTTGGAGAGTTTTGATATACCTATCTCTTCACTGTAAACCAATAATAACAACACTATTACTAACATCCATTGGACAAGATTCATATACACCCCTCCTCCCTTTTAAAATTTTCTTTTAGTGTTAGTGGGGTTAAGGCTCTATATAAGAGATCCCACCATCAGTAGTATTGGGTACCTTAGGTGAATCCTTGGCACATTAGCTTCCCTTCTCAAAGGATAGCGATAAGCCATTCAGTAGACCTGGACTCAATGGGTTTCAGGACCTAAAGAGTGTCGTGACGTATTAGGTCTGGATAGTCAAATTTTGGGTATTTAGTTAGTTTTTCATAGTAAAGAGAAATATCTAGACTAGATGGTCGTGTAGTTGCCTCATCTTGATTAAGTGAGATATAAATAGTTAGCTCTTTGTACTATTCATTAATCTGTAAATCCTTAGACAGTACGAGTAATTATTCATTCTGGTTGTTCTCAAATATGATCTTTATTATAATAAAATGGTGCCATGATGCATGGATGAGCTAGCATTCAAAAAAAAAAAAATCTGAAAAAATTAAATTTAAAGATATCTATTGAAATATTAGATCTATTAGTTGAATATTATAAGACATCTTATAAAACTATGGATTTTCAGAAACCATTTATGAAAGATAATAAAATTTGATAATTATTCAAAATAGAGCAGATCAATATGATAGATGCCAAATTGAGAATAAAATATTTTATTCTATTATGTCTTTATAAAATATTAAGGGCATATTTATATTAGCTAAATTTGTGAATCACAATGGAAGTATCAATTTATATCTGGGATAAGTTCAATTTTTCTTTAACATTTGGTAAACTTTTCAAATAATATTATTAAATATCATTTAGCCTTTATTCAATAGTACAAATTGATTAATTTAGCAGAAAATAAATTTTATTTTAGATTTGAAAATAATACAAATATTGAATTGTGAAGTATTAAATTTTATCCAATTAAACATAAATATATAATTCCTATTCATAATATTTTTAACTGATTTATTTCATTTAGATATAAAATCACAAAATAACAAAATTCTTGTGAATATTTAGTTATGATTCCTCTAAATTATAAATATAATATATAATTAAAAATTTGACAAATATGTGAATTTTGATCAAAGTAAAATTTTATCGAATGTCTAATAATTTTTTAGAAAAATTTTAATGAAATATATAATAAAAATGGTACAAATTATATAGTAAATAATATCTAATTATATAGTAAAAATTGATTGATAATTTATTTATACCAAATTATGTAATAAAAATTTATTGACAATTTATAGTATTTATGCTAAATTATATGATAGAAATTGGTTGAAAATTTATTTATGTTATTAATATACTGAATTATTTATTTTTTGATAAATCTTATATAAGTGACATTATGTAGAATAAATATTTTTTAACTTGTATGGTTCTGCTTTATTTATAAAAGTATTAAAATTGGATTTACTGTATATAATAAATTTATTATATTTAATAATTTTATAGCTTATATTTTAAAAAAATTAAAGTAACTAATTAATATTATATTTAAATTGATTATAATAAAAGAATTAAAGATATATACTATATAATATTATAATTATATAAATTTAACAATTTATATTTATTTGATATTCATAATTATAAGAATTCTAAAAATTATTGTTTTTATAAATAAAAAGTACACATCTCTATTATTGATAACAAATCAATGATCAAATTTAATAATAATTAGCAGATGAAAAAAAACATAAAAGATAACTTTTATGTCAATGTTAATAGTAAAATAGTATAAATTTTATATGGTTAAAATTTCTTTAACTTATAGTTGCTGAAAATGATAAAAAAATTTTTTGACTTTATTTGTAACTTTTTTACAATAGAGTCAAAATATAAAGAATTATCTGAGAATGAGTGAAATCAGATAATTGATATTTTGTAAAGTGATTCAAGTATTTTTACTATTATAGAAAATATTAAATTTATATCTATAATAATCAAGAGGATAGTAAAATACTATATAGACTTAGATGAAATAAAACCTTCACCTTGAAAAGTAAAGTTACCAGTACTAATAAATCATGATATACAATACTTATTATACATTTTAAAAACTGATCGCAAGGTGATAATAAATATATTATAAAATAAATTTATATATTCGATCTCAATTGAGATTTTTAAAAGTATTTTATAATTATATTTATATAAGAAAGATTATTATGTTCATATTGATAAAAGAAAACTATTTGTTAGTAATAAAAATAAAAAAATTCATCTTAAATGGACAAAACAACATTTATAATGGATTTCCAAGTAGGATTCTATTATTTTGAGTAATGAATCTTACTTTAAAGTATATGTAGATGATAACTGTAATTATATATAATTATTGCTTAAAGAAAAATAAGATGTTATTGTCTTATTTCAACATTTAAATCTGATAGAAAGGGAATGATGATATGGAGATGTTTTATAACTAATAGATTAGATCCATTGATATATATTAATAGACAACAAAAGGCAATTGATTATATTGATACCCTTAATAACAATTTATTACCATATTTAAAAGAGATTAACTTTCAAAATAATTATATTTTTCAAGATAATAATTGTTTAGTTCATCAAGCAAAAATTGTAAAAAAATAGTTTGATAAAAAAAATATTTCTTGTTTTCCATGGCCAACTCAAAGTCCTGATATTAATCCCATTGAACATTTATGGGATGAATTAGAACATGGAATTCATAGACATAACCCTTTATCAATTAGTGAAACAGAATTATTTGAATTTTTGCAAGAAGAGTGATTAAAAATAGATGATTCAATTTATTACAATCTTGTAAAAAGTATGCCTTGTTATATTAATGTTATTAAAATTCTGGAGGCAATCCTACGAAATATTAAATACATAAATAAATTTTAAAAACATTGATTTAAAAAAAAATTTATTAAAAAAAAAATATTTTATTTATTTAAATTTTTATTTATTTAAAAAAATTTTTTTATTTATTTATTGATTATCGTCGAATTTGATCATCGGTCCATAATCAATGGTAGGGGAGTGTACGTATTATAATTCATAAAATCGATGATATAATGCTTGAGCCAGTGAAACTAGCAATATAACGAATTAAAATGATAACAAGAGAGAATCACCTACCAATTAAACTTCACACCAATATAATGTTTTAAGGATTGTTTAAGTACAGCATCTTTAGAGATTAACCATCACCAAATCCAATTCATTATTTTGATATTTTAGACTATAAATAAGACTCGGAGGTGTGCGAATTATTATAGGATTGTTATGGTATTATAGTTCCATTATCCCTGATAACGAAATGCGCAAGCTCCCGTCTGCCACGGTGATCTGTATTAATAAATCCGCGAAAATCGGGAGCCGTGCGATTGATTCTTCTAGCATTCTGTATTAGAACTAACACATGATTAAGAATTTCTGCGGTTTTGATTTATGTCATCGTGAAACCATAATTTTATGCACAAATTTTCATGAGAAGCTAACTAATTGTGGTTCTCTAAATTAATTCTCGATCGGTCAATAATCGCGAGTCAAACGTGATATATTGCTAATGCATGAAGATTTTAGGGGGACAGCTAAGACTAGCCTTTTCTCACCCTATCCACCATCCTATTTACTAGTATACATATGGTCAGTTGTATTTCGCTCATGACAGAATCCGCAATAACTTGATGACTTGTGATACCTAAAAAAGAAGTAATTGCATACATGCTCATAGTAAATTTATACGATCCTCCGACATATGTATTGTAATAAACCTGATATTGGGTTTCTAAACTGATATGAGAAAAGCATAGTATTAACTTCTATATAAATATATTTGGATCAGCTAGTGGTTTCACAATAAACGTTCAAAATAAAAATCAAAGGAATGTTTCGTACAAAATAAGTGCTTCATATTGGCATTGTAATTTTTTTTTTTTTTAATGACGTTCCAGCATGATTTTTATATTTCATTAGCTTTTTTTTGCCAAAGAATATTATCTTTCTCTACTCTTTCACTACAAAACTTTCATAGCCGATTGTTCCCTTTAAATCATAAATTTTTGGCGGGCCCAAAAATTATCTTACGAGTCAGGACTCTTGTATTGCTTCTTACGTTGAAAAAGTAGAGAAAGTATAATATTCAAAAAGGACTGTTGGCCATTTAGCCTAATTGTAATACCAAACTTGATGGCTTTCGTGTATGAATCGTGAAGCCTTACGACGATAAAAAAGACGTTCTCTTCGTGAAATAAAAATAAAAAGCTAAAATGTCTAGCCGCGGTGTACTGGTTTCTGTGGGCCTTATATTCTCTGTCAGTATTATTATTCTATCTCGTATAATGGGAAAATTTTTTTGAACCAATTCGTTGACTGAAGTTTTTTAATTTTTTATTGAAAGATATACTGTTTGACTGTTGTGATTCTGACAGTCATTCGTCTTAACTGTAGGTTCTCTTTGCCATTTAAATTCTTTTTACGCGAGCATACCACTAAGATTCATTATTTTAATTTCTATATTTTTATTTTATTTTTTTTTAATTTTTTTTTGTTGCAGTTCCGATATTTCACCTTTCAAGTTTTTTGGTAGCCGGGTTCACAGCAATTTATGGAGTACTTTCTCCGATAGGAATGTCAGGAATTCTTGGGGGGCTTCACGTAAGCATAAAGTTATGAATAACCTTTTAAGTTATCAATTATATAAATCAATCTCTTCTTTCCCTTAGCGTAGAAGAAATCTTATAAGAGGCTTTATGTATCAGTATTGGTTTGCGTCTGCATTGATTATTGGGATCAGCGTTGCTAACTTACTCTTGTCGAATTATCTACGTCCGGGCGCAATTCGTAGATGTCAAAGTGCGCTTTTTGGCGTAGTATCGAGTGGTACAAATACATTGCTTTTATGTACTAGAAAAGTTGAAAGATCAGAAAGAGCGGCTTTGATTTTTGCTTCAGCTCAGGGAATAATTCTGGTATAAATTTTTATTTATTTATTTATTTATATTTTTCACACAGAGGGTCAATTACCATAACCAATACTTTAATAATTTAGGTTGCAACCGGATTCCTCGTATTGTTTTTTGGAATTAAAGAACTTAAGGATATATTATTAGAGGAGGAGACTAGAAGTTTACTTGAAAGAGCAAGGTTCCAAGAGGATTCAAGAACTTCATCAGATACCGAATCTCATATGTCTGGAAACAACAACTCTAGTTCAGCCATTAACGCGAATGTTTCGAGAGCAACTTCACGAACCGATCCGGGACATTTCGCTCAAAAAGTTAACACAGTTCCAGCCTCTTATGCAGGACCGAATCGTTCACCGGTAAATCAAAGTAATATTAACCAGAATCGAGCACCCATTGTCCCACTTTATTCGACACCTGCTAGTAGCATGACTGCAGATCAAGCCAATGTGACCACAAAAATAGGGATGCCACCAAGAAATTATCAACCACCGCCAGGGCATTACCAACAACCACCACCGCCGAAAAACAACTTTTCTTCACCCAACAAAAATAATTATCTTCCCATTTCCAACAATAGTGCTTATCCTCCCTCTTCCAACAAAAATGCTTATCCTCCTACATCAAGTAACCTAAATTACTCATTATCAAACAAAAGCAATAGTAGTCTCATTGGACCCAAAATGCCGGGACAAATTCCATCAAATTCAAAGCCCAATAATTATTCGACTCAGCCATTACCTCCAGAAAATTATCCTGTAGCTTTACCGGAACGATCTTATGCAACTGATCGATATGGTCCTCAGACATCATTACAAAACCCAATGTCCTATAGCTCCCCGTTATCAAATTTCTCTGGTAAAAGTAAACCCTCGATGAGACAACCGGCGGTACCGCCTTCGAGTAACTGGAATTATCCGCCAAATACCCGACAACCAGCAATGGTGAACAACCTACCACCACCAGTGAATATCAGTCGTCATCCGTCACCTGTGCCATCAATTCGATCTCAGCAAAATATCCAAGGTTATCAGGCCGGTGGCGACGATTATGCTAATGATTATAATGATTACGTAATTCCGTCAAATGCATATAACGTACGTCCAGTTGATGTGAAAACTTATACGCCAAATTTGACAAGAGGTGGGATGAATCAGTAATGGTGATGAAAAGCTATTATTATTGAGTCTTTGGCTGAGTCGGGTTTATCATCCATAGGGTTATTTAAAAATTGAGTTATATATAGTAAGTGAAATATAATCGAGATATTATATTTCACGAATTGTTTATATTGAGTATTCCCTCGAATTAAAAAAAGACCTATATTTGGTTAATAAAAAAACCGGAACAGGGGTTCATTTCTAATTTGCAATTGGATACGCATTCGACATACAGACATGCAATTTGGCCTTCCACTCTAGGCAACCTGGCGATATGTCTATTTTACTTTCTTATAATAGATTGTATAGTTTAACTATACTAAATTAAGTTTAATTTAATATTGTCTTATACGTAATACTTAATATAATTCGTAATTCTTAGTCTGTATTCTATTTATTATTATTATTATTTTATTTTTATATCATAGAAAAAATTATAGATCATTGAATCCGGTAAAATAGTCGACTACCAAAGAACTTTATATATATATATAGTGCCTTGAACATAGTATAAAATTTTAATATGCTGCATGATTATTAAAACAATTTCATAAAAAATTATCGTGAATGATTTAATATTACTTTTTATAAACGGATTTACTTAACCTTGGTTCATTTGAAAAGAAAAATACATGTAGTAGATTATACAGTACGTATAACGTATACAGTAAATTTAAAGGATACAATAAAAGTTACTATATATAGAAATAAGATTATTCTATTCGCCAAATAAACTTGATAACACCTTTATTTTTGAAGGTAAAGAATGCTTAGATTGACTTGTAGAATGGAGTTATAAAAGTTCTATGGTAATAATTTTAAGTTCAAGAAAAAAATAAAATATTATTTTTGAAATTGTATCTAATAATTTAAAAATGTAATATAACTTTAACTTATATATATATACAGTGTATAACAAAACTTTTTGGAATTCTTTATTTATTCATAACTTAATAAAAAATTATCTATAATATAAAAATTGAAATATATATTTTTTAAAAATTAAGAATAAGGTTACTTAAGACTATTTATATAAGTTTTATATTATTTTATATTAAATTTTTTATTTAAATTTCAAAAA